TTTGGTGGGAAAATGGTTTCTAGCTTTTTATTTTATTTTAATTTTTATTTTTTTGCAATGAAAACAAATTTTATGGACAGTTGTAAATTTTTTTTCCCTTTAATGAACAATTTTCATAGAAAATAAAGTCAAACGAACAAAAGATCCAAAATTTCAACATTTTTCAGGTGGAAAATTATACAAATCAAGTACAATTAATTGAAAACTCCCAAAAAAAATTTCTAGGCACTTCAATTCACTGTAATTCATTTTCTTTCCACCCCAAATTCGACTCTTACAATCAAACGGAACCTAAGATACTCATGGGACACAAAGTGAAATGTAATTATTGTGGAAGAACATTTAATACTGATATAATGATGAAACCTTTAGCATGTAGAATCACTTAAAAGCTTGTTATGCATATAAGAGCACTAAGGTTGATTAAAAACAAGCAATATTCACTCGACAAAATAATAATGGCGGTATTATGGCTACGGTGTTTAATGAGGAAGAAAGTAGAAAAGCATTGGTTAGGGGGATTATTATTGATGAATCAGAATTTTCCTTAGGATGGTTATTATTAATTATGGTACAGAATCGAACTAGTTTGATTCCATAATTAAATTTGGATCCAACAATTCCACTTACTAAATACTAAGAAATTTTGGTTCGGTTCGATTATCTTTAGAATTGAGCGAGACCATGTCCAAGCCTACTTACAAGACAATAGCTTATTATCACCAGCTTGCAATAAATAACACGATTTTATATATTTCTGTAAAAAGAGTGTTGTGTTCGAAAGGGGAAAAAATCTCTTCAAGTATTTTCCTCTTATTAGTTTTAAGCTTAGCTCAATATATGGCAACGATCAAATTGTTACTGCGATTTGATCTCAAGGAAACTGTTGAAGAAAATAATTGGCAAAGATGAATCGATCATTTTAGCTCCGTACTAATTATTTAATATTCGATGGAGGTAATGCATTTATCCCTATTTGATACAGATTCTTTACACCTCATTTTTTTTTTCAAATTCATTTTTAACTGCACATTCTCTTAATAAATAATTTTATTAAATATACGATTATTGTTTCTTATATATCTTGCTGATAAATGTGTTTTACATGTTTATCCATGCTTATAATCTTAGTAACTTATGACTAATTGAGCCTTTTTTTACCTAATTAAGTGCAATTGTGTACTCTATAAGTGAAGATCATGATTGCAATTGGTGTGAAAATGGTGATTTTGAGCTTAATTGGAGATTATTCGGATACTTGGAACGTCATCCAGATTGCAATCAATTAATTGAAAGAAGTATTGGGGCAATTGGATAAAATTCATAAGTTTTAGGAGGCAAATGTGATAGTTGGAAAGTCTGGAGACCAAATTGCGAACTTTCGAAACTTGAATCGGATCGAGACTTCATGATTTCGAAATGACGACGAGAAAATTCTAAATATTTCAAGGTGAAGGATCTATGTTATAATTATGGAAGGACGAAGGAGGAATAAAAGAGGAATTTGGGGACCAAAACGGAAACATTAAAAATGAAGGAAGTAAAAAAGAAAAATTGCAACCGCAACCGTTTCGGGGGAGCTGTTTTCCGCAACTTTGCAAACTGTGACCACCTGTGATCCGATCCGACTGGGCTTAGTTAAACCTTCTTTTTTTTTTAAAGTTATTTTTAGATTTTTTTTCATGAAGAACTCTTGGATCATCTGAGATGCTTTATAAAGACTTTTTCTAGGTCAGAAAAAAGAAGTCCACAATTTTCACAATTAGATATCGACAGAGGGAGAAGAAAATCAAGATCAATGATTCAAGAACGAGGGTTTGAGCCTTGAGTTGGGAAAGAAGAAAGTTTTAGTGCAAGATTATTCTCATCTTGTTTCAAAATCCGGCGATGTATTCCATTGTGTTTCCTTGTTTTTCTTCCATAGCTAAACTCTTCGTCGTGACGTACAATGTAGCTTATTGAAACTCTTTAATTTTATTCTCGTTAACTTTATATACATTGATTTTACTTATTAAATTTAATGCTTTGAATTGCTTGGTCAATAATTTAATTATATGTGAGTTTGTATCAAATCGATAGGTAAATTAAAAATTTAGACCAGATAATAAAATTTGGTAATTTTGATAAAAGAGTAGAGATGCCTTTTATGGTTATTGCGGTTGTTACATGAATTTTTAGATATTTAAATCATTTAATTAAAGCTTCTCCAAATTCACATAGATATATAGTGAATTACCTGGTTAAATATAATCAATTTGAACTCTAAAGAGCTACATTTAGAATAAAAAAAAATTCGACCGAATGCTATAATAAGTAAAGAATCTTGACTAATGAATTAAATGTGATCAATAAATAAAATTGTATGCCCTAATATCATATTTAAAACCCTAATTTGATTATTGTTTGCATGTAGGTGACATTGAGATAATTAAGATAATCAATCACCCAATATTCTTTTTTCGTCAATTAGGAGTTAGACATAAGAAAATTAGGAATTGAACAATAGTATTTGTGGGAACGATCATTCGGACTCGTAGATCTATTATACTATTTGTTACGATATCGTACACTTACCATATGCTTAAATCATTTGTCTATTTGCTTGACCTGAAGACCTTCAGAATCGACCCATCATACAAAATCATCTCATGTACGTTAAAAAAGGAAAGGGATAAGAGATCATGCAAGTCATCTCTGTAGCTGGGAAGAAAGCCTAGAGGGCCTAAGACAGGATAACGAAAATGGTTAATAGTACGAATCATGCTACATTGCCAGGGCCAATGCCAACTGGCCCCCTGTGATAGGTTGGGGGAGACTTGTACAGGGCCACAAGTATCTTTATCCCAATAGTACTCCTGTGCATATACTGATCTCCTAAGTCCTAGCCATGATGGGATTGTATTTACCATTCTCTATTCTGGATGTAACTTCTAATTCTTAGCTCGTATATTTATGCTTAGAAATTTCCATCTAATCTGAGTACATAAACCTGCTACAAGACAGGTTGGTGAACGTAGAGTTACCAAAAAAAAGGGGTGAACAGGTGCACACAAAGAGATTGAATTAACAGCAATTGAGTCGAACATCAGGTTAAACCATTGTAAAATTTATTACAAATTCAAATAATCTGCTGGTTAAAGGCAACAAAGAAGTCTGAGGAATACTTTATTGAACACTGATAGAGAACTGGAAGGATGAGAACAATGGTCATGCTTCAATCCTTGCGCTAGCATTCATCTGCAAGATCAATCGAGCAAC